TTTATGAGATCCACACCCACCACTCAAAAAGTACTATTTCTTGTAGAAAATACAAATAACATAATTCAATATTTTTTTAAAGTTCCAATTGTGATTCTCTTCATAGTAAAATAAAAAGAAAACATTAGCTGTCAGATGATAAAAGGCACCAAACTGAAATTTTCATTTTGATGGCCACTCAGTTTAATTCCAATACACATTTTCTTTCTAAACTTCACTGCCTTAATCCAGCAAAATCATTTCAATGTGCCCTCATCTGAAAGTGTCCCAACAAATTAATAAAATATATGAGGCACTGAATTCCTGAAATGAAGAGTTGCAAATGAAAGAACACTATTGTTACTGACAGCATTCATGAAAAAGGTCTACAAAACCAAATTTTATTTAAAAGGCTTTAATTTTCCATGTTTGTTCAGAATCTTTTAAACATAAGTGAAATTTCCTCAACTCTCCAGAATCAAAACATGTAATTCTTTATCACAGTATAAAATTCTACGATACTCACTGAATATACTTACAAGCATTCAGTAAATACTAGGTTTAAGGAACTGTCCTGTTAAAACAAATTATGGAAAACAGTGTGGTCACATCCACTTCACTTAAATCCCCCACCACTTTTGTTTTGAATATTTAACCACTCCAAAGTAGATCCCCAGTCCCCAATTCTCTTACAACACAGCAAATACACAGTTCAGAGCTTTAAGTTTACCTTTGGGGAGTGAGCCAATTAAAGACCCTTTTCAAGAATATTATATAAAATAGCATACACTTCCACATAGTGTTCCCCCACACCTCTTGCCCACCTTAACTTTTTCCAAGTCACCTGGTCTTCCTGTTTATTCTGTTTAACTCACTATTCACTTGGGGGAAAGGACCTCAAAAATATGTGTGAAACAGAAGACCTAATTTTCCTTTACTGGGTGTATCTATAAGAATCTAGGTAACAGAAATTTGATTTTAATTTTAAATATGATTAATTAAATTTAATATATACCTATGAGCAAAACATTCACAAAATTGATCTACATATTTGCACACTTACGGGGGCGTTCTTAAGACTCTGCACCTCAAACTAATATATTGTGATGACAAAATTATATTTGTTCTAAATAAACTATAATAGGTAACTAGCAGCATCGGGAGGAGGAATATATGCTATGAAATATGACTTTTCATATGATGGGTTTAAGTGTTAGTCTGAAAACACTAAGATTTCAAAACCTTTGTATCACTTTCAAAGTAAAGACTTTTTCTTTCCTTATTTTTTTTATACCTTTATTTTATTTATTTATTTATTTATATGTGGTGCTGAGAATCAAACCCAGCACCTCCCACGTGCTAGGCGAGCGCTCTACTACTGCTGAGCCACAACCCCAGACCCATAAAGACTTTTTCTTAATGATTAAAATAAACAATATGGCTAAGAACGAGTGCTTATCTACCCTTATCATGTCTGCCTCAATTCAATTGCAAATAAAATAACTGAGCAGTGACATTTTTAAAAACAATGTAATTATGCCTTTGAAAGTCCATCCAATAATAGGAACAGATTTAAAAAGTGCTTTTCTTGGACTAATCAAGCCTTAATGGGTAATGCCATTTTCTTTATTTTCTATTAAAAATGAAACTTATGCTACCTCATTAATTTTATTGAAAAATACCAATCAAGTATGTGCAGACAAAGAAAAACTCAATAAATGAGTTTCTGGTAACTGGGGGCAAGGGGGCAGGTTTTAAACACGAAAATTTATCTCAAGGGTAAGATTAAATGGCTTGTTTTTCTTTCTGTAAAATGTCTTCATGGGGTCAAAAATATATTACAGTCATTAAGGCTTTAGCAACAAGGAGAAACAACTCATTTCTTTGCTTAATATAAATGACTTTTTTTTTATACAACAGATCTCTTATTCTCATAAGTGTCCTTTAAGGATGAAAAGTAATTTATTCATCTCTATCATTTAGGACACCTTATATTTTTCTATGAAGAGAGTCTGTGGCTTTCTATGGAAGGTGACTGACAGCACAGGACAAATTAGACTCTTGATTTAACCATCAAAAAACAAAATAAGTAACAATTTTTCTTGTCAAAAGAAAATTTTTCATCTGAAAAAAAATCTTCTAAACTTGAGAATAATATGTAAATGAGGGAATTCCAACAGTGTTTGGAGATCCCTAATAAGACCTTAAGAAATCATCACTTTATTGATCAGGATCCACTCACCCACAAACTGTCTCATTCTCCTCTCCCCTCTCCTACAGTGTTTATGTTGTCTATTTTTTTTCCTTGCTCACCAATGCTACACATGATTCTAGGTCCACCTCCTGCATGCCTACTACATTTATTTATTCTGAGCAGAATACTACAAATGTAGCTTAAAAAAAAAAAAACAAGTGGATTCCTTGGGACTTTGCTTCTTGATCCTTCAATGTGTTAATCATCACTGAAGTGCAGTATCTGCAGTTTAATGCACTGAGAGCTTTGAACTATCCTTAGCCTAATTTTGAAATCGGGATTGAAAGTCTTTTCTTTCATGACCAAAATATGCTGATTTTTTAAAATATATACTTTAGATGTGATAGCCATATATCACTGGTTACATACATTAACTTTATTTTGAAATTGATTTCTTAACAGAAATAAAACCTTCTCAAGAAATACGTGATTCAGTTTCCTCATCCCCGGTGAAGAGCAACTTCTGAGTTTCCATTCTAGGACCAAAATTCTTTTGCTGACATTTGAAATGGTCCACTTCTGCTCAGATTGGCAAAGTCTTGTTTACTAATTTTTCCAGAAAAGATTTTGCAAGAAACTAAGCCAAGCCTGTTCACAGCTCCAGTGCATACAGCTGGTGACCAACTAATAGTTAATAACTGACCAGTGTATAAACTGCTCGATATTAGACACTGTATGGCTGCCAATGTGTGCACATTAAAAATAGGTCGTTCCAGGCTGGAGATATAGTTCAGTTGGTAGAGTGCTTGCCTCTCTTGCACAAGGCGCTGGGGTCAATAGCCAGCACCACAAAAAAAAAAAAAAAATAGGTCTTTTCCATTTGTGTTAAAACCTGCTTATACTTTTTCCACATTTCCATACTGCTTAAACTTCTCAATTAGCATGAGCATGATTCATTCAAACATTTTTCAAGCAGACAACTGCAATAGAAAATTATATATTTATTAAAAGAAATTTTATAATGTGTTGTAAAATTTTATCTGAGATATGCTTTTATATTTAAATCAAATCCATTCATTCTTATGAAGAATAAACCACCTGCTTCCTATAACAGTCTTAATTGGTTGATAATTGAATTAATAAGTGAAATAGTTTTTTTTAACTTTCAAAAACTATGTGTGAGACTTAAATGTATCAATTTTACATCACCATCACCATCACCATCATATAAATAGTAAGATTTACATAGCACTTATAATGGGCCATCAGGCTACATATATATTAATATATGTTCTAAGCATTTTACATATATGGCAATTTAATCCTCAACAACCTAAATAATGCTATGCAGTTTACAAAGGCACAGAAACTTTGACTACAGCCAACAGCTCCAAAGGGTCAGAACCAGTTCCTCAAACAGTGTGTGCTATAGTTTAGATCTTACATATGTCCCACGACCTATGTACTCAGGGCTTATTCCCTAATGTGGCCCTATTGGGAGGTAGTGGAACCTGGGACCTGGTAGAAGGTTTAAGATCACTGGAGATGTTTCCTTGAAGGGAATTGTGGAACTCAACATCTCCTCCTCTTTCCTTTTTGCTTCTGGGCTTCCTTGAGGTATGCACCTTACCTATCACACACTTTCCACCATGATGAGCTACCCAGCCCCTGGCCCAAAAGTAACCAGGCCGGCCAACCATGAACTACTGAAACCTCCAAAACCGTAAGCCAAAGTAAACCTTCCCTTTAAGCTGATTATCTGAGGTATTTTGTTACAGTAATGGAAAGCTAACAGTGAGCAATAATGCTGCCTTCTCTACACATCTGAGAAACACTCAATGACTCAGTGTTACTGGCCTAAGATCAAGCCTGGAATAAAAGTCAACATTATAAATGTAGAAATAATTCCAAGTCTTTCCATAGAGATGGGTTTTTAAAAAAATCTCTCTCATCTTCCCCATTTCAACTACTAACTTCGTTCATAAAATACTATAATTCTAACCATGTTCAAGCTAAATTTGAATTGTATGCCTCTTCAAAACGCAGGCACACAAAACAAATCTAAATAAAATGCCCTCTTTGCTCCATTCTATAGCTCAGATTTAACACATGTGAGGCTGAGTCCTCTGCACTGCTCTTTGAAGAGTCACCTAGCTAATATGTTAAGCCTCACTTTTTCAAAATCTGTTAACTGAGAAATGTGTCTAGGATTTTTTTTTAATAAATTACCTTATTCTTAGTTTTATCCAGTCTTTGGTGGATTTTTATTCCTAAAGAATCCTGATTAACAGATATATGAATCAGGATTAATCTGAAGAGAAAAAAAAATCACCATTTTTTTCCAAAGAAAAATACTACTGCCCTCACAGAAATGGTTATTTCTTCAACTGTGCACATTGAACTGAAGACAATGAAACTTGCCCCCTTCTCTAAGGTTTTCATGTGCAAACTCTGAGTGAGGGTGTGGGTATTGTGCTTTTCTTTGTATAATGGAATGGAACAGAGTGGGAAGGAAAGGGGAAAAGAGAACAACTCAGACTTTTTATTGCCCATCATCCCATCCATTCAGGGAGTACTCATTCCTTCCCCGTAGTTTTGCCAGTCTGCCACCTTCTCCTCTCCCAGTGTCTCATGAGGGTGTGTCTGTATACTGTGATACAGGCTGTGAGACTCACAGGGTGACAGCATTTCAAGGGTTTGCAGAAGCCGGTATTTAACATCCATCTGGGTTCCATGTATTTGTATTCAAGATCCCATTATGAAAAGGAAAGGATTTCATGGTCAAATGAAACAGAAAGGTCAACTCACCAGCAAAAGACCTAAACACCGTGCAACTGTTAGTGCTTGGAGCTGAGGCCACTGCGGGCCATGACCTCACAAGTGTAGGTAGTGTGCCAGGTGAGGGGCGAGTTCTTCCCTGACACTACATGAGTTTCCAGCCCCATGAATGGAGTTTACTAGTAATCCTTGTTATAAGAAGAATGTTAATGTGTGACAGCTTGAAAAGACATAAAAACACTTAACAATGGCCTGTGTTTTCTTTTGCCTTTCTCCATATTCCTTGCTCTACTGAGCCTTCCTGGCAGTACTTGGTCTTTCTGGTTTCAGAACAACTTGATGAGACCTTCTTCAAGATCCAAAAAGTAGCTTGCAAGTAGTTCATGTTGGTGAATTTGTAGCTGGTCTTAAAACTCTGGTTGCACATAAGAATTACTAAGAATTACCTAAAGAGGTTTTTTTTTTTTTCTCTTTTTCTCCAAATGCCAATGTCAAGGCATTGCTCCAAAGGATCTTATTTAGCTGCATTGGGTGGAGTCCTGACAAGAGTTTTGTTTTTATCTTAATCCCCATGATTCCAATGTGCAATCAAGGTTGAGAACCTGTGATTAATAAAATAATGTTCCTTGTTAGAAGCATTTGCAAAAACAAAAGCAAAAAAAAAAAAAAAATTCTACCCATCCCTTCATTACTATCCAGAGAATTGCTTTTTCATCATGTACTGCCTTGGTCAATGCACTACTGAAGATACCCACACCATAGGTTTCTCGATCCTGCTTTCAGTCCCTCATCTCGTTATTCCCAATTCCCTGCTCCTCTCCAGAGCATACCCTGCAACTGTCACATTTCATGTGCCTACTTATAGAGTCTGTTGTTTATCTGTCTTACCCGAAGACTGGAAGCTATGTGAAGGAGAAGATGGTTGGGAGCACTGCAATATCATCAATGCTTAGAGACTGGGTTTGGCCCCAGAAGTCAATCAGTAAAAATTTCCCTAATGATTAGATGAAGAGACTAATCAAGTCCAATCCTGCACTGTGCTCACCCCTAAAGAAGGAACAGAGAATAGAAGATAAAGGCCCTGCCTACACATTCCAGCCTGTTTGTGTGTGTGTGTGTGTGTGTGTGAGAGAGAGAGAGAGAGAGAGAGAGAGAGAGAGAGAGAGAGAGAGAGAGACACTATCTGTCTCTCTTCTGGCAAAGGCAAAAAGAGGCAGGTAAACAAATACCATACCTGTACAGACTTAGCCTCCACGCCCCAGACTTGGGATACAAACCTGGGCGGAAAGTTACTACCAGGAAATACTACAGGATTATCTCATCCATTGTTCCTTTACTCCTTAAATATAGGTTTTTACCCTGTAACACTTTCACTCTATACACAGCTAAATCTGTATTCTTTCTAGAACTTAACATGTAAGTTCTTTCATAATCATGAGCATGTTTTATTTACCCCACAAACTTCAGGGTGGTGGGGAAGGGCAGTGAGTAATGAGAATTATGCAAGGAAATTAAACCTTACATTCTTGAAGCTTGGCACTTGCAGATCATTTGTATAGGTTTATCTTTGCTTACATGATTGATATACCAAGGTAGAGACTTTAAAAGAAACACATTAATCAAAGATGCTTTGTAAGTCTCAAGGCAATAAAATTTGCAGAAATAATGTACTTTCTACTGAATTTTATTGAACTTCTTTCATTCACTTTTTCAGGCAAATAATAGCTATGCTTATTTCTACAGCAACTGACAACCTACATCATCATATAAATAACTGTACAAAAAACTTCCTGGTATGCCATAAACAATAACTTAAAATAGTGATCCTGTAGCAAGAAGGAGATTGATTAACCATAAAATAACCTCTCCATTATCCTTGAAACCAAAATTCAATTGAGCACATTTCTTTGCCTTTTTTTTAAGCAGTCATTATTAGTCATTCCTAACTTTCATTATTAGTCATTCCTAACTTAACCTTGTAGTCTTACATGTTCCTTTTCATTTCCTCAATCCCGACCAGGAACAACTGCTCCATCTAGTAACTTCTCTGCAGTACTAATAGTCAGGGTCCTTTGCTGCTTAGGGTGACAGGAGAGTAGCTTTTGCAGCCTGCCAGTTATCATGGCTTCCCACTGATTAGCAAGAAAGGGTGACTCCTTGTAGATAACCATCTCAGCTTCACTATTCTGTGTGCAGGATTCTACCTTTAGGGCAGTTCTCATCAGTAGCAGTAAGTTTCTAGCATCTGTGAATCAGCACTATACCAACACAAGACAATTGTGTTTAGATGAAACCTTTAATGCAGGAAAGCAAAACCTAACAGGGAAAAAAAAATTAATGAATGGATGATTAAGTAAATAAATAAATAAATATTTTGCATGTCAAGGATTGTTAAACTCATGCCTCTAATCAATACACCAGACAAAAGCATCAACCCGGGGAATAACAACCCTTCCCTGCAAGCTGGGGCCCCATTATCATTGCTGTCATTTGTTTCTTTTTTAGAGCCACCTGCAGACCTATTTTCAATAGTCAACTCATAATTACATTGGTTCAGTGACACAGAGCTTCACAAATCCCCTTCAAACCTCATTAGAGTGAATTACCTACCCTTCTACCAGCACTTTGCAAAATGTACTAAAGTCAATCTCATCTCCACCCTTTAAAGGTGATAATAACCAGAGAAATATCTCCAGAAAGATGGCATAAAAAGCAAATAGAAAGTAAATCCAAATCATATCTGCCTACATGTTACCTCTTTTTATACAGAAAAAAAAATGCTTAAGAAAGTTAAATATTTAAGTTTTGGCAAAAGCTCTCAAAACAAAGGTTATGGTGTGTTTTTAATTGCTTTTTCTGTTTTTTAATTTGTAGTGAGACAATTCAGGAAAATTAAAATCATCACACAAACAAAATATTAAGTCATCAATCAGCATTTCCTAATTAAATGCGTCTTTTAAGAACATGGAAAACCAAATTCTTAGACTCCTAAACCAGCCTGTCTTAACTAGCCCTCCGGTGATTCCTGAGCCACTTGTGGATGAAAATCAGAGGGAAAAAAGTTCAATGACCTTGTAAATTAGGGACTAAAAAACTGTAATGGTGTGACAATCTGTACAGTCTCCGTGGAATTACAGAAAAACACTTGACCGGAAATTGCTTTTTTGGAAAATTACTATGAGGTGGGGGAGAGAAGGGGACAAAAATGGGGAGGGGTGGTTGCAAATGGTAAGATACTTAACAGGAACCTCATCAATGTGAAATACAATCTCCTCTGCCCCAACTGTCAAGCAAACAACTTCCAAGCATCTTCAGATAAAAAGAAAAATAGTCTTTTTGCTCAGGCGTTAGCTGAATGTTCCAGAGTTGGGTGAATGGGGAAGACTTGTTATACACCTAGTGGTGGGTGGATTTCACCAGGCTGCAGCCTCCACACAGCTTTTCTTTGCTGCACTGCAGAGGCGCCATCTTCTCCGTCTTAATCTTCACTCTGTTCAACCCTTTTATCTGCACCCTAAAAAAAGGAGCCTGCGGACTCTCCCCACCATCCTGCGCCCTCAGGGGGTCTAAACCAGAATCCCCAGAGCTGCCAGGGAGGAGGCCGCGCCTTAATCAGACAAACGTCCCCTTTGATGCCCAGGAGGGGTGAGATCCTGCTTCCCACCACCCGCCACTGCCCTTTCCAGTCGCGCACCCCACTCTCCGGTATTTCTCCCCAAGGACTTTAGAGCCCAGCACGGAATGAAAGCACAGTGGTGATCCAAGGATGTGAAGAAGAGCGACCCCGAGGCTCCGCCGGGAGGCCCCGGCAGCGCCCCAGCCCCCTCTGGGGCAGACGCGCGGCGCTGGGAAGGGAGCCTTGGTGGCGCACAGACTACCGCGGCTCAGCCACCGCGCCCCGGACGGCGAGGGCGGGGTGCCGCCGCTTTTGTTCCAGGGGACTTTCTCCCTGGCTGGGCGAAGCTTGAGGGTGCGAATAAACGCCCGGGACGTCCGGGCTTAAGGAAGGTGCAGTGGCCGCTGGTCTCCGACCCCTCCCATCTCTCGCAACTTACACAAAAGGGAGACGCGGAAATGTACAAAGTTTGCCTGCGGAAGGCGGTGCGCGACCCTGGCGCCAGCGCCAGCTAGGGTTGTTCGCAGGCTGCCACCGCCAGCGACCGCGAACAGGAACAGGGATGGAGGCGAGCAAGAGGGGTGGAGGTAGGAAGAGAAGGTGAAACGCATGGCATAATCAAAAAGAAGCCAGGAGACCCCCAGCTTCCAGAGGGGTTCCGACTCCTCCACCCGGGGGCCCGAGAGAAAGGGAAGGGCAGAGACTGAAAAAGACTCTGAGACTGGATCCGGGGACTCTGCGTTTTCGGTTTTCCACACGTGCTCCCTTCCCCTTCTCCCCCATCTGGATGTCTCTCGCCTCCCTGGACCTTGATCTCGAGACAGGGCTGAGTCAGGGTCTGGGATCAGTGACTCCCCCTCCCCTTATTGCCCAGAGCTGGAGGGGACTAGGGGAGCCCCGCGCCTCGCCCGCTCCGTCTCCGCTGACCAGGGCGCGCGTCCCCGGGGCAGGGCTGGGCCGGAGGCGGGGATGCGCAGGGGGCCCGAGAGCGGGGGTGGCGGGGAGAAGGGTACTCTTAGCAGCTCCTTGCTTCTCAGAATTAAAGACTTGGGGGGATCGCATCCCCACCATGCTCTCCTCCCCCCTTCCAGGGCACAGTACCCACCTCCAGCGCGCGAGCCGTCCAAGCGGCCAGCAGAAGCAGAGCCAAGCTGGGCAGCATCGCGACCCTGCGCTGGGCACCGAGTGCGCTGCTGTGCGAATGGGATCCGCCGCGCCCTTGCTCTGCTCGAGTCTGCTCCACCGTCTCTGATGGCCTGGCGATCGCACTGGTCCGGGTGCTCTCGTCTACCGCTGCCGAGGAAACTGACGGAGCCGGAGCGCGGCGGCGGGGCTCGGAGCCCGGAGAGTCAGCTGATCCGGCCCACCCCGTTCGGCACCCGAGAGAGACCCCTAGCGGAGCCGCCGCGGAGCTGCGCCCGCTGGCACCGGGAGGGGTCCGCGCCCCCGGCGCCCACAGGTGCGGCGCCTCTGGCTCCCCACGCGCCTCCCTGGCCCACCCCCCACCGCCCACCAGGGCTCGGGGAACCACAGGAGGGAGAGTCTGGGGCCAGGGGAGGGACGGTGCAGGATCAGGGAAAGGTGAGTAGTAGGACGTTTTGGGCTCCAGAAAAGTCGGGAGCGCTCCCCGCTCGTCCCCGTGAGCTTGAATCATGCGACCCCGCAGGCCTCTTGGGATGTCGTATATAGGGCTGCTGCTGGGGTGCGTTTTTATCCGCATTTCAGTTTTTGTCTGGGTTCGGAGAGGTGGGGCAAGCCTTTCTGGAAGAGAACAGGAGCAATCGACACTTAAAGGAAACAGGATTTTTTTGCTTGTTGAGAAAGCAAAAATCTCGGGGTTTTTTCCGTCAAAAGCAGCTACGAACAACATGGAATTTCTATCTTTAGAACGACCGAAAGGAGATAGATAGACGCGGGACCTGGGAAAGAAGCAGGCGACCCATTTTCTCCTTCTGGAAAGCAATATTTTTGTTTTTTGGAGTTTTTATGTTTTATTCTCTTATTATTTACGTGTGCGCGCTCGTGCGTTTAGAGGAGATAGGAATTGGGGAGCATATATTAGGCAGGAACGCAACATCTCAGATGGAGATAAAGTAGAAGTTGTGATGGAAGAGATCTTAAGAGATAATTCTTGTTCTATCCCGTAACTGAGGACTTCCGACCTCAAATTCTAGCCCTGTTCTTCATTGTCTGTCCTATATTACAGAAATGAACCTTATGCAAAGCCACTTATCCTAGATAAACAAAAACTGCACAATGCCCAGTGTCCAGTTAGTGTACAATGGTCTAGAACTGCCCGGATATACCCTTTTCTGACCTGAAGTGGTGTCTGTCACCAAGCCACAGCTCACTTGGGACTGATGGGAGAGAAAAAAGCCAGGGAGTGCTGTGGCCCTTCTTAGGGCTTCACTGCAAATGGCCTCTTCTCTCTCCTGCTCATTGCTTCTGCGCTGTGGAGTGATGGCTCAGCCAGAGGCTGCCCACTTCTGTTCTGAGAAGTCAGCATTTACCTGCCAGCTCGACTAAATGTTGTCATCTACTCTATACATTCGGCCCTGACCCTTGGATTACTTTTTGTCCTGAATGACCTAAAATATATATATATAACACAATGTTTTCATGGTTTATGTCATTCACCTACAAAAACAAATGAAAACATTGCTATGATATTACTATGATTATTTCCACTCATAAGTCAGGAAGCCAGGGGTTGGGGACTATCCTCAAGAGTGCCAGTTTTTCATTTGAGAAGCCTTGGGTTTGATTCCCAGCACACGCAGGCACACACACACACACACACACACACACACAGTTGGGACTGCAGGGGAAAGACTAAGGTGAAAAAAAAATTCAATTGTTGACCTTCCATACCATACTGCTTCCCAAATGCATGTACCCACCACCACGATTCTGTTTATCTGAGGTTTGTATGAGCAAAGAAGGCATCTAAAACAGAGGAGTGTGACTTAGAGATGGGGGGAACAAAGTCAGCTACAAATTTTCTCAAGTCTGGTGCCAAATGAAAACGTGGAATTTGTTGTCCCAAAATTAAAAATTTTAATACGGTGACAGCCCAACATTAAACCAAGCATGAGAGTCTTCTGAGTGCAGGACACAGGTTGCAGGCCCATAAAGCCAGTCCCAGGAGGAAGGGAACAGTTTTTAAGAGTAGGAACTTTTAATGAGCATGAGATTTAAAAATATAGAAATGAGGTCAAGTGCTGTGGCACACACCTCTAATCTCAGCTACTTGTGAAGCTAAGGAGCACAAGTTCGAGGCCAGTCTGGGCAATGTAATGGGACCCTGTCTCAAAAATAAAAATGTCTAAAGGGGTTGAATTAAAACCACCCTAATGACCTCATTAACTTAATTACCTTTTTAAAACTGTAGGTCAGTGATAGAGCACCCCTGATCTCAATCCCTGGTACTGAAAAAGAAAGAAAGTGAGTCTATCACTTATAAAAGTGAAAGCTCTTAGATTTAATAATTATTCTTCTCACCACTGAAATACACCCCATCACACATTCCTGGTCAAAACAGTGTGATACATGGCATAGTTTCTGGTGACTTCTACACCTTGGCTATTCTCCTCCAAATATGTTCTGGTTCATTTGTGTCTGAAACCTAATGCTGACTTTGGTAGCTGCATCCCACTGTGAATTCAGATTGGTCACACCTGCTACCAAATCTTCCAATTCTGTCTTATGTATGGTGCTGCTAAGCCATGTTGCTGTCGTTTTGTGTTTAGGTTGTTATCTGTGCCTAATAAGTGTCACCAAAAGTAATCATAAGTCCAAGCCAAAAGATGAGCCCTGTATTAATTTTCTAGGACTGCTATAACAAAATACCACAGAATGAATGCTGGGTAAGTTGCCTGGGAGTGGTGCTCTTGCCTGGATTCAATACCAGCACTGGAAAAAAAAAAAGCGAATGAGAAACAACATAGACAAGATGACATAAATAACAGCAGAAACTAGAAACTTACTTTATCACGGTTCTGGAGACTGGAAGTCCAAGATCAAGGTATCAGTAGGTTTGGTTTCTTCTGAGGCCTGGCTCCTTGATTTATGGATGGCCATTTTCTCCCTGTGTCCTCAGATCTTCTCTTTGTGTGTGTCTGTGTCCAAATTTCCTCTTTTAAAGGATGCCAGTTTTAGTGAATTAAGCCACGATGATGACCTCATTAACTTACTTACCCCTTTAAAGACCCTATCTCCAAACACAGTCATATTTTGAGGTTTTGGAGACGTTAGAACTGCAACATAAGAATTTGGTCCACATTAGAATAAATAGGACAAAAATACATGACACAAACAACTTGTCGGGGAAAGGGTTTATTTTGGTTCACGATTTCAGAGGTTTCAGTCCATGGTGAACTGGCTCCATTGCCAGGGTCCTGAGGTGAGGCAGAAGAGTATGGCAGAAGGAAAATGCTCAGCTCATGGTAGCTAGGAAACAGAGAAAGAAAGGGACCAGAGACAAGATAGTCTCCAAGGGCATGCTCCCACTGACCTACTTCCTCTAGCCCTGCCCTGCCTGGGGCTTTCACCATCTCCCATTCATCCATTCAAATAATTAATCCAATCATTTCCTAAAACCCCACCTCTGAACATTGTTGCACTGGGGACTATGCCTTCAAAACATGACACTTTGCGGAATATTCCAGATACAAACTGTAACACTCTATAAATCCAGTTACTAATCTTTGATGATTTTTTTTAACCAATGATCAATGTTCTACTGCCATTTTCAGTTGGAAGATCATTCAGCTGAACAGAAAATAATAGAAATTGAAGAGGTCTGCCTATGAAGGTCTGCCTATGAAGATGGCATCCTGTTCCCCACGAAGCTGGCTTGCCCTTAACATGACTACCAGACTCTGAAAATAAATAAAATGGCCTTTTACATTTTTCCCTTAGAAAATGTTATCAAAGCTTAAACTTGTATTGACATTTAAAATCTGTATTAGTTTGCTAGAGCTGCCATAACAAAATGCCAGACTGGGTAGTTTTCAAGAACAGAAATTCAATTTCTCACAATTTTAGAGAAGTCCAAGATCAAAGTGCAGGCATGGTTGGACTCCTCAGAGGCCTGTCTTGCAGATGAACGACTTACTCTTTCTTTGCATAATCATCACTCCATCTTTGCATACCTGGTGTCATGGTGTTTTCAAATTTTCTTATAAGAATACTAGTCATGTTATATTAGAGCCCACCATAATTATCTAATTTTAACTTAATTAGCTGTTTCAAGGACCTTTCTCCAAATACAGTCACATCCTGACATACTGAGGGTTAGGGATTCTACATATGAATTTTGAGGGAATACAGTTCAATCTGTAACAGAAGAACCCCTAAAATTATTCTCACACTTTAAGCTACCCTCACATCCATCCTTGGAAGTGGGTTCTTTCCAACTTTTATCCATGTCTTTTTGAAATCAGAATGCTTTTTAAATAACTGCCTCCTGGTTGAATATTTGAATTAGTTAGCCACTCCAGTGTTGGGAACTACCACACCCTCTATGGAGGTGCTACTTTGCTGGGAGTTATCTATAATGACAGACATCGGGATGTATTTGACAGTTTCATATGCTTCTTAGAAATTGTCTTCCCTTCCAGAACCTCATCCCGATTCCTCTTTGTGATCAGAAACAGATCCTTAGTTGCATTCTCGCTTATCCCTTTCTGCCTCTAAGACAGGCCATTGTTAATTTCTTTAGCCTCTCATAACTACCTAAGTCTGAATCATGAACAGTATTCAAAGTTTGGGGTACAAACTCCTTTTCCTAATGACGTGCACTGTGTTTTTGCAAAGTAAGTTATATTTATTTTTTCTTTCTTTTTTAATGAGCAGCCACAAGAAATGTTAAAATTAATTCCTGTAATCCCAGGAGCTCAGGAGGCTGAGGCAGGAGGATTGCATGTTTGAAGCAACCTCAGCAATTCAGCAAGGCTGTAAGCAACCTGGTAAGAGCCTGTCTCAAAAAAATAAAAAGGGCTAGAGATGTGGCTCAGTAGTTAAGTACCCTTGGATTCAATCCCTGGTAGCAAAAAATAAAATAATAATTATTGTTAACATACCTCCATTTAACCATATTTATCTAATAGATCTGCATGTAAACAGGGGATGTGACATTTTACTTACACTTTTTCTTAAGTTACTACCTCATTTATGGATCTTTGCTTTGTGGGAGTACATCCATGAAGTATTCATATATTTTCAGACAATACAATAATTTCAAAATTAATTATTTACCATCAGTATACAAAACTACTTTAAACAGATTTCAGATCAAATAAGTCACATTTTATAAATAGGCTTAGATATTTCAGTAGTAACTCCATGGAACAACAGAACTAAATGTTTAACTAGGGATCACTACTGGCAGTTGGCTTATATAATTTGTTTGGGGAATGGTGGCAATCCCTAGGTTGTTGTAGGACTGATGTAAAAAAAAACATTCTTGGGTTTTATGGAATAAAAGGAAAGAACAAGAGAGGAAAAAGAAAGAGGTTGTACATACCAACCTCAGAGGTGGGGAGTATGAAAATCAGTCCAGTAGCAGGAAGATGTAATGGAGCCATGTGAGCATTGTATGGATTCCCTTCCTTAGAGCACTTTGGATAACTGGGCAGTGGGATGCCAAGATGGAAAAAGGGAAAACCTGACCATTACACATTAACTTGGGAAAGAGTTATGGAAACTCTCAGAGCCTGAGTTTTGACAAATGCTTCCCTTAGGTGTTTCGGTGATGAATTGAGAAGGCACCTAGCACGAGGTCTGGTTTGCCATAGAAACCAATTCTCTTTTCTTGAGAAAGAAACATTTCACCATGACCTTGCACTGACTTTGCCAGTGGCTGCCAGATAGTGCAGTGACTCTCAACCCGGTGCTACCTTAGTTTAGGTGAATTCCTAAGCAAAAAAAAAAAAACTATTTTGTTCATAGAAGTTCCAAATTCGTGAGTAGTTTAGTTCTGATATAAACGAGAGCAGACTCAATTTACCATCAGCATATTCTTACTTGTGTTTGAATACACTCTCTTGACTGGGAGAGAAGGGATGGAGCTAGGACTACTACACTGAGAATTAGGTAAAACCCTGACACACCCAAGGGTGTGTGCCTGGTATGTGAAAGATATGCATCCTGTTTACAAATGGCACTGTGCTGGATAAGGCTGCTTGCCAGGGGTGCTGAGAAGATTACTTTCAGCTGGACATAACGATTGGAAGACCACAACACATGGTCAAGGAGAGCCACACCTAGAGCAGCTGCAAGAAGCCCCAGCTCTCAGAATTGTTGGGCTCTGGAGCCCTGGTGACAGACATGGAAGCCAAGGGCATGTTTTGCTCAGGGAACTAGATCTCTTTATCTCTGCACAAATTATACCTGGGGGTCATCCTTCATAATTTCTTCATGGACAGAGAAGTCCTAAAGATGTTGATGAGTAACTCAGTTTTCAAAATCCAAGTGGAGGTTAGAGCCAGAAAAGTGTTACCTAAGCCCAAGATAAAAGAGAAGATTAATAGGCAGACATCTGAGTATTCTGGAACACATCGTGTAAATAACCAATATCCTGAATGACAAAACAAATTCACAAACCAGTCACAAGTAAACATAGCACCAGAGTCATTCAATACACAACTTTGTCTCTGAGCAAAACACCCAATTTTACTATATCCCTTAATCAACACTTTTTCTGTCCTATGTATGATTTATTCCAGCTAAAATAAATATAGCCATGGGAAATGGAAATGTTTATTATTGGGAAACCCATCAAAAATGTTTATAGGTAGGATAAAAAAAAAACCTCATATATTCACACTTTCCTTAAACAACTTATGTTTATGTGAGAAACATATCTGGGAAGATAAAAAGGGATAATAAAAAAGTACATTAGAAAGTATAATGTGGTGTAAAGTATTTGTACACATGTGTATGAGATCATCAAAGGAAAATTAGTTTACGGACCTGTAGCATTGGGAAAGGTCAATGAGGGACATCAAGAGGTCTCTTTGCTTATTTGGTTTGTGTTTTGTTTTTGCCAGGGAATTTAATAGCAACCATAAAGAAAGGAGAAAGGGGAAAAGAAGTATGTTCTAAGGAGAGACCAGGCAAAAACACCAAGAGTGTTTTAACGTTGGGAGAGGTAAGTGGAGTTAGCTGGTGGGGGGGGGGGAGCTGTTAATGTTAAAATAGGTGAAAAATTTAGATCAGATGGGGGAATGGTGGCGATTCCTAGGTTGGGTAACTGTGGGCAGCTACTCACTGCATGTTTCAATCATGGACTGACATATTTTAACATTTTCTGGATAAGCTTTGCCAGTGGGGACTGTATTGGGAGATTTAAAGGATAAGAAAATAGGAATCAAGAAGAACAGAAAGAAGAACATGCCAGAGATTTCTGGTATAGCTAGAGAGGCAATCAGCAAAAAGTTTGTTCAAAAAAATCATGGTGGAAACTACTAATAAGAAGCCCAAAGGATGACTGTGTGCAGACAGATTTCATTGACTGAATGAATACTCACTGAGTTGTGTTGGGGGTTAACATTCTGTGTTGCAAATGAAGTGACATAAGTTTAATCAGGCAGTAAAGGGGGAGGATTTGTACTCAGTTCTGTCTCACCTGAACACCTCTAATTAGTATGCTGAATTACAAAGGAGAAAAGGTGATTTTAAACTTTTTTTTTAAAAAGAAAGAAATAATAAATTCAATATTTAGCTTGTATTTAGGAATCAGAAATACATAACCACAGAAAGTAACTCGAATATGATGTATACATTTTCAAGGGAAGATGAACCATGGATGAATATTGGAAATATGCCCGTGGGCATTGTTTGTCACAACTGATGATTTATCCCCAATGAATGTGTTGAAAACTACTCAGTGGAAGTCAACAACACAACATTACAAATAAGCAGATATGTTTTGTGCTGACTTTTAAGAACCCAATAGGTAATGGGAGATTTGAATAGGAATTGGGAAGTGAATTATAAATACCCGTGTGTATTAGTTAGGATTCTGCAGAGAAACAGAAGCAATGTTATATATATATAAAACCTTAGGTGTATATATATATATATGTGTGTGTGTGTGTGTGTGTGTGTGTGTGTGTGGATTTGGCACAGAGATTTTGGAGGCCAAATCCCACAATATGCCTTCTTCCAGCTGGAGAACCAGGGGAGCCAGGGTTATAATTCAGAATCTAAGAGCCTGAGGACTGGGGTGACTGTTGATTGAAGCCCCAGAGTCTGGAGGCTTGAGACCCTGGAGTTCTGATGTCCAATGACAGAGAAGATGGATGTTCCAGCTCCAGGAAAAGAGAGAGAATCTGCTCTTCCTCTGCCTTTTTGTCCGATTCCCACCTTCACTGGCGTAATAATGCCCACCCCACTGTTGAGGGTGGATCTTGTGCTAACGTCTTTCAGAAGCAGCCTTACAATACACTTAGAAATAATGTTTTCCCAGCTATCTGGGCATCTTCTTAATCCAGTCAAGTTGACACATAAAATTAACCATTCTATTCTGTAAATATGATGTGAGAGAGATCTGATTTACATTTTCATATCAAGGTTATTTTCCAATGCATAGATACATTAGAATAAGAATTTTTGAGAAGTGAAAAATAACATCCTAGCATAATTTCCAAAATCGTGTACTATGGAACCCTAATTCTGCAATGTGGTACTAAGGTATTAAATGCATACGTGAAAGGAGTTCTGTAATCGAGTTTGCAAAATACATTAAACAAATGTCTTTATTTTAGAATGCTTATTACCCTTTAAATGCTAAGATGTGTTTCGAATTTTAAAGATGATAGTCTTAGTATGAAGCATCCCCTCCTTTCCAGTTTGTTTTGTTTACTGTGTCAACTCCTAGGACTATGGTGACACAAAACAAGTGTTAGGGAACTCTGCGTTGGAAG